CTCGCTGTACGTCAGTGGGACTCGCTGATCGCGATCAACTACCCTGCTCGGGCGTTCGGCATAACGAGGATGATATCTGCCAAGGAGGCCAGGAAGCTTTGTCCGGATATTGTCCTACAGCATGTTGCGACCTTCCGAGAAGGTGAGGGTGGGAAATGGGCATATAGGGAGGATTCTTACCAGCGCATGAATACGGATAAAGTGTGTTTGGATCCGTATCGGGCGGAATCGCGCAAGATCTTGAAAACAATGAAGGAGGAATTGTCGAGATGGTATACGGACCTGCTTGATGAGGAACGGGGGCTGGGACCACACTCTCAGATACAACAAGCTAGTGTTGAGAAAGCTAGCGTCGACGAAGTTTTCATCGATTTGTCCCCGCTGGTTTATGGTGTCCTGCTTCGACGGTATCCGGAACTACAAAATGGGCCGGATGGCGACGATCGTGTCACATCGCTACCTCGTCCTCCTACAACCGCCCTGGAATGGAATCGGGGCGATTGTCTAGTGGACCTAGACGAGAACGAGACGGAGGTGGATGATCCTGATTGGGATGATGTTGCGATGCTTATTGGATCAGATATTATCCGAGCGGTTCGCACAGCGGTCTGGGATAAGCTGAGTTATACGTGTTCCGCAGGCATAGCGAAGAACAAGATGATGGCAAAGTTGGGGAGCTCTAGCAACAAACCCAACAAACAGACCATTGTACGCAATCGTGCTATTCAGAACTTTCTTGGTGGCTTTAAGTTTACCAAGATACGAATGCTTGGGGGTAAGCTGGGTGATCAGGTCTCGGCTCTGTTTGGAACCGAACAAGTCAGCGATCTTTTACAGGTTACGCTGGAGCAGTTCCGGGCCAAGCTGGACGATGATACTGCTAATTGGCTCTTTGGAATCATCCGCGGCGAGGATAAGAGTGAAGTGAACCCCAGGACGCAAATAAAGTCCATGCTCTCCGCCAAGTCTTTCAGACCGAGTATCAACTCCGTCGAGCAGGCGGAACGGTGGTTGCGGATTTTTGCCGCCGACATCTATGGCCGTCTCGTGGAAGATGGTGTACTTGAGCACCGACGCCGTCCAAAAACCCTCGCCCTGCATCATAGGCAAGGTGCACAAGTTCGCTCTCGTCAGAGCTCCATTCCTGGGTCGACACCGATCGACGAGACATTACTCTTCGATCTTGGAAAGACATTGCTTCGACAGGTCATCGGTGACGGACGCGCCTGGCCTTGTGCAAACTTGTCAATGAGTGTTGGTGGATTTGAGGATGGGGTTGGCAATAATAAACCAATAGATTCTTTTCTACTCCGAGGTAACCAGGTCAAAAATATTGGCCACCCTGCGAAGGACCGTCTTATGGATGACTTGCCGGAAATGTCACAACCAAGCGAGAAACGGAGGAAAGTCGAAGACGATAGTATAAAACGCTTCTTCAACCAGTCTCCCGGGGTCAACACGAATCCCCAGCCCAGCGACGCTATATTGGAGACACCGGCGACGAGCCTGGAAGGGAACAGCGAGAACACGCTTCTGTCTGAGGCCTCGTGTGATCCTGAATTAAGAAAAGTTGCGTTGGGATTCTATACATGTAGACATTGCGAAAAACCGCTACCGGAAGCTGAAAGGGATGAACACGATGACTGGCATTTTGCCAAGAATCTAGAAAGACAAGAAAGACAAGAAGCCATGAGATCCCAGCAGACAGCACGCCCCTCCAATAACACGGGATCTTCCAGCGCCCGTGGCAGACCGGGTCGTAGCAGCCGGGGTAAGCCTGAGAAAAGACAGACACGTCTCGCTTTCGGATAGTACCGCTGGACTTAAAAAGTTTCGCGATCCTTAAACATCCAAGCTGACTGGGTCAAGGGAACGACTTTACATGTTCAAGCAAACCCAATAGAGGAGATGTTCCTTTTGATATTTATAAGCGTTCGGTGCACCAGGAGAAACGAAGAGCACCCGCCTTCTTTCTCCCCTCCTGCTCATCTTAACGGACCTCCTCGTGCAATATTGCATTGTAAGCTATGTGAAAATGCATCAGGAAAGCCGCTACATCGTTCATAGGCCCTCGACATGATTTGTCGTAAACCCTGCAGACCATATCACACCAAGCAAGGGAACAACAGCCAGCAGATTTCGATTGATAAAGAGTATTAGAGCTCTTGGCGAAGTCGTAACCTCAACCATGGTTCGAGTGTCAATTTTAACTTACCCGAGAATTAAAGGACTTTATTTAGATATTGAATTTAAGCTCTTTCGAACTTGGACGAGCTAGTAGACGATCATATCGGGTTCCAGTTGGAAATAAAGATGCATAGCAATCCAAATGAGCGACAAGAGAAGCTATTGGTGGTTTGGCACATTTTAGGTCCCGTTGTGCAGCGGGGACATCAGCAGACTCAGCCGCGGGGTCGAATTTCAATTCCAACAGACAGTCATCGTGATTTGACGTTTCAGCGATTTCGCTCTCGCCTACCATAACAGTGCACGTGTCTCACGGATAATTTCCCTACACTCGATATCAGGACATCTCTATTCCCGAGGATCAGCAGAGGATTCGGAGTGTCTACAGTCAATTAATCAAGCTGCACGAGTTGCCCCTCACAGGACGGGTGTAGCAGAAATGTCCAATGAAGGCACCCGATAAAGACCAATTAGCTCCACTTCTAATTTTTCGTAACGGTCAACTTGGGTAATTCGTCTTATTTGCTATTCGATTATTGGGTTACACCATGCCCCGGCGATATCGTGCCCGTGAGTACGACGAGGACATGTACGAAGTTGAACGGGACCATTATCACCGTAACCACCAACATCGACCGCGAGGCGGACGTCAATACAAGGAGGAAGTACTCTACGAACAACCTCGAGCTCCTAGTCCTCCTCCAGTCGAGGAGTTTGATCGTCTTCGCATTCGAGACAATGCAGGGCCAGAATTGATCCGGGACCCCCTTCGTGAGACATCGAAAGAGCTCCGAAAAGTTAGGGATGACACTTCCAAGCGTCGTCGACCACGTCGGAGAGAAGTCGTGGAGGAAGAAGAAGAATATGTCTCCCAAGATGAAGAGTTGACAAGGAGGATAACGGGAAGCGAATCCGAAGACGAAGTTCCTATCATTCCAAAGAGACGTTCCGCGCCGCGCCGCGGCGACAGACGCGATGAGCTATCGAAACCTAGAAGCCGTCGCTCGGAATATGAGCGGGAGTTACCGCCCAGTGTCGATGAAATGAAGCACGAATACAGAAAAACCCGCAGTGGCCCTCATTATCATGCACCGCCACGGCTACGACCTGAGTCTGGCCCTAACACAGACTTAGAGGAGGATGATTATGAAGAGGAAGAAGATGATATTTTAGTTCGGAGAAGCAGGCGGCGAAGACCTCCAAGAAAGGTTGACCTCCATGAAGACAACAACAGCACGTCATCCCCGGAATCAGAAGACTCTGCGGATATTTCCCTCGCTCAGGCGCCTATACACCGAAGCCCAGCGAAGCGACATGTACATGATTTAGAAGGTGAGCTTGCTACCTGACATAGCCGGTAGCATGATGACTGACCCACTGTTAGATTATGATCTCTCCCGACCACCTCGTCCGCCCCGCGCACCTAGCCCTGAAGTCAGTTTTGAGAAGCCTAAAAGGGATAAATTGAGACCGACATCCCACGAAGAGATACTCGTTGAAGAACGCGGTGGGCCAGAGCTTCCAAATATAGTACGTGGCACACCTCCGGAGTCTTTTCTTCGACAAAGGGAGGAAGAATATCCGACTCCCCAATCTCGCCCAAGGTCTATCGAACGTGAAAAAGAAATATCCATCCATGAAGTCATGCCAGGCGGGTTTGATGAGCACGAAGTACTAGAAGAGGTCTATGGTAGACCTCGTGAGCTGGAGAGGTCTATACGGGAAACCAACCCTAAAATGACCGGAGACGATTGGGCAATCATCTCTGCAGCCCCCAAGACAGAGCGGGAGGCTTTGCTAGATGAAATCTCTCATGGACCCAGAGAGCCAGCCCTTAAAGGCAAAAAGCCTAAGTTTACCGTAAGTGAGGAAAGGCATTCGGAAAGTGACCCGGATTTTGCACGGGGCAAAGTAGGGCGGCGATACATTGGTATGAAAGATCAACGAAACGGGCTCTGGACGGAGATCACCAAGGACCTGGTAGTGAGGGAAGCAATTGAACGATCTGGGTATGAATACGAGGAAACAGTATCTTCCTATTACGTGTTTTCATACCTTCAATTCGTGAGTGAATATATCTTCCCCTAGGAAGCTTACTATTAACAGCATCGCACAGGATGATGTTTCTGCTCTAGTTGACTTGTCGGAAGACATTCGCCGCGCACGTCGTCGACGAATCCAAGAAATTCACCGTGAAAGGAGCTCTATGCCTCCTCCAGCGCCTCCAGCACCACCAGCGGCAATGCCAGGAGAACCGCCATTGATGTTGGACAGACCGATGTCTCCTCCCTTCCGGCCTCGTGAAGAGCGACGGATGAAGCCACGTGAGCTGGTTGATGACAGACGTGGGAGGCCTCCCTCGGGAAGGTGGTGATATACCTATCTGATGTCCCGGTGAGCGTGTGTTAAAGTGGAGAGCATTGCTTGAATTCCCTTGATCTACAGACATCATGAATAAACGACACGACCAACACTACTCCAAATTCGCCGGAACAATTATTTAGACATTGCAACTCTGCCTTCGAGGAGACCCACGAGACATGATTTATGAAAATATATGATATCTTGAGCCCATATCACATTTCTCTGAGCAAGACTATTCTCAACACAGGTCCTATATTTTGAGCTTTTGTGGAGAACATTGTAGCTCAGTGCCATCGTCTCCTGTGGTGGCAGTCATCCTATAATTGATTGTATTAAGTAGGGGTAGTACAGACACGAGGCAAAATCGAATACCGGTCGTCGGCAGGCCATTCGGTCCACAACAACTTTCTTTATATCCCGAGATATATTTCCAATTTTCCACCAATCAGAGCATGTTAGCTCAGGGGAAGAGCGCCGGGCTCATAACCCGGAGGTACGTTTTCACTTTACCAACCAATCAAATCCGATTCCTAACAAACAATATAGGTCCCTGGATCGAAACCAGGACATGCTAAATATCTTTTTGTCCCCTAGTAAAAGGGTCTTAGTATTAGGTGAGGCATTTAACTATATTTTAAATAAGAACAGGGATTAGTTATTCTCTACTAGCTCTTATCCACCTCGTCTTACCAACAATCAGTAGTTTGCTTTAAGCATTCCTATACAAGATGTGAGGCTGTGAGATAGCCTCTCGCGTTTCAACAACTCCAGTGCTCTCGTCTTTATGTAGGGATACAACTAACATCAAACTAAGTGTCAGAGTCTCAATGATAAAGGCCATAGATCTTCTCCTAGCCTATTACTTTTGGATATAGCCACCCTATGACATTACCACCTCCAGTCTTGAGCTTTTACCTATAGTTTAATATACAAGAATATCCTGCTTCCCTCCCCTACTTTCCAAGTGTATGGGCTTAGAAGATTTTGTAACAGCACTAGCGGCACTGCTAAGTCCTGCTCCCTCGCAAATTGCGACCACATTACTTGTGCTGGGGTAGTTTCCCACCAGACCATCCGCGCGACTGAGATTGATGATCGAATCTGGTCGCTGGAGCATTTTATCTAGGGACTTGACTCTCCGTATGCAACGGCTATATCTGTGTCTTCTCAATTGATTGGCTCCATCCGGTCGAATAGGCTTGCTTGCCTTGCGGCGTGCTTTTCCAATTTGGGACTGACGACGAGTATCATTCTCTATCGAGCCTTCTTTCACCGGCTAGGTCAATTTCCTGGGCCACAGACGGCTAAGCTGAGCCAAAAACGATAAAACCCCAAGGGATGTTATACCCTTTGTGAAAGCCCCTGACGAGAAAGGTCAGTCTGCTCCCCCCTAGGTAAGCAAGCTCCCAATAAGGATGGGTGTCTGCTGATTATCGCCGGAATGTGAGAGCGTCGTTTCCCCCCTACCATTCATATAAAGTTCTGGAACCTCTTGAGTGACACTACTGGGATAACTCTGGTCCATGTGTTGTACTATCTTGCAAATAACCCTTCAGCATGCAAAGATATGCCCACTGGTCGGATATTCATGAAGATACTAATCCTTTCCAATTTATTGTGTAGCTTCTTTATCTAGGAAGTATCCATGAAACTTGCCGTATATATAGTATTGAAAGCCATGGAACACTCATAAAATAATTGTGAAACAACATAACTACTAGTAGCGAAAGGACTGGGCTAAATCGGTTGAAAATCTACAACTTCGCTTGGTTTATATGCTAAAGAGACAGATAAGATCCCTTTATATGAGATTCTGTGAAATGAAACTTAGGACAAAGGAACTGATGAAACACAGAAATCGGTGGTATAAATTTACGCGTACAATGGACATGATAGACAAGTGGATGTTGATAATGATACCCTGAAAAGTGAATATTTAAGACCGTTGCTGTCCCTCCTCCCTCCACACACACAAAATATAGAGTCGCTTGATGTACTAACACCAGCTTCAACAGCATCAACTTTGTATATCTAATCCTTTCCACATATTTTCTCCAACCCTTCACTCTATTTCACGCTATCATGGATCTACCTTGCGAATGCATTAAGAACGGCTATGATGAATGTCTTTGTCGATTCTGTAGGAGATGTGGAAATTTTGGCCACAGGATATACCACTGCAGAGCAACCCAATGCGGCCAATGTAAGTCGTGGCATCTGTTAGGAAAATGTCCCCTTGGAGTGAAACAGTATATCCGAAAGCAAAGGCCCCAGAGCCCTTCATCCTCTTCGTCCTCTTCATCCTCCGAAGAAGAGCTTATCCAACCAATCACGAAGACTCTTGATGAAGTAAGTTGCTACCAGTCTATAAGTTATCGAGTATAGTGGAGAGGTGCTTAAGGAAACATACAGAGCGATATTTCACAGTTAAATGCCGACGCTGAACCACCTAAGGGAAACCAGCTAAATGAGAACCCTAGTGTGGAAGGGCCTGCAAGGACGAGAAATAACTTTATCGCAGGCGTAGTTGGGGAACCACTCCAGCTTCAAAGTATCGGGCCTGTTGATCGTGCGCTCATACTAAAGCAGCTCATTTCAAAAACAGCAGAAAAATATGACGAGAGGTATGCGTCGATATTAGACACAGAAGATATTGGGGCAATTTTGGAACAGCATTTGAATCCCACTGTAAGGGACATCTGCAAAAACGGTGAATTTACGCTCTCGAAGTATATATCACCCGCTTCTTCTCTCATCCTAGCATGTTATTAATAAAGGGAAATAGTCTCATAGCAATTGATCACAACCCAGAAAACCTATCTATTTGTGGAGTTTACCTCCACATCCTGTGGAGGAGGAGCAACCCACAATATTTTTGGTTATACATTGGACAGGGAGCAGAGCTTCGCGAACGCATTCGAACCCACAACGATATCTACCGCCGAAAACGTAACCCATCGCTGCATTATCATGTTTGGGACTCAGCTGAAGACATGGAGTCAATATTCGTCACACTAGGCACCAGTGAAAAGCCAACATCTGTCAAGACACAGTTATTGCTGAACCTCCTCGAAATGTGGATGGCGCTGGTCTTCCAGACATTGACATCGTTACACCTAGATGAGTATCTACCCGACAGTGTAAACAGACTCTGGTCGGGGCATCACCTTAATGTTGCACTGCCTTTGTGGCAAGGCTTCACAGATGAGGACCAAGCTGTAAGTGAGGCAGTTGGTGGGCGAATGTCTTTTCAGCAGCATTTATTTTCTGAGGACCCGACTATTCGTCAATGGGCAGAAAGTGCAAGAGACGCGTTTAATGATATACGAAACTCCCCGACGCTCTCCTAAGACAGTATTACCAAAACCTTCTCTCCAAGCGTCAAGCCCAGGGCCAGCAAACCTGGCAGAAAAAGAAGTCGATGAACATCATGAGGTACTTGGAACCAACGAAGACAACGGTAAAGGTGTCCCACAAGGGTGAAATGTGTGAAGTATCCTGCGGTTCCTTCAGATTTACAATATCTCAGTTGCTTGGACTACATTTGAGAGATGGTGGCGAAGTCTATGTTCAACTTCACCTAGCTGGGAGCCGTCACCCCAACGCCTATACTCACATGGCCGAAGCAAGAGACCCGGCAAGTCGACTGGCAATTTCGATCAGCGGTCATGATGCCCAGGGGAGCTTCCACACCTGGCTCCAAACCAAGGGGTCTCGAAATGTTTTCAAAATGAACTCTCTAGTTGATGTGTTGGAGGGATATTCCTTGGAGGAAAGTAAACAATTTCAACGGCGTTGGCACCCAAGGAGGATGGTTTCCCATGATAGTTCTTCGCGGAAACATGTGTATACTTGAGCATGAACAGCCCTCGGTGATGAAACTTATCTCGGCAAGCGCTGCTCCTCTGGACGCACGGCAGCCTCTTCTTGTAGAGGGTTTAAGAAGCATTCAATTCGTTTCTAGGCGCTTTAGGAATGAAATTGATTAGGGAAGAAGAAATCCATCTAAGATGTAGAAGAACCAGCCAACGGATCGTACATCTTGAGTAACTCTACATCCTTATATCCTATCCCACTTGTAAGCTCACTGTGTCGTGGATGCGGCAATCATATATGTAGCTTTGTTCTGAAATGTTGCGCCACTTGTTACCCCAGAATCTTAATTCTTAATACGAAGAAGTTATAATTCTGTTAAAAATCAGGATTTTAGTCGGTTAGTAGGACCACTAGTAGGACTTGGGACTATAGGACTACGGCAACAGCGCCGCCAATTCGCAGTAATTTAATTTCCTATGTTCTGAAACTTCTTCTGCCAGCAGAATAGTTTACTATACTGAGAGGCTGCTTGAATCGCTTAGTCTCCTTGGTCTGCGTGGTCTATATGATTGTAATTTGTAAACTACTAAATCAATTAGTTAACTAGAATACTCCCCGGGAAAAGAGGTGAAAAAAATCGGGAAATATAGACCAAGCTTGCTGGTACGAAACCCTAAGATAGGGATTATGGAGCAAAAAAGATAGCATGTCCTGGTTTCGATCCAGGGACCTATTGTTTGTTAGGAATCGGATTATGATTGGTTGGTGAGGTGAAAACGTACCTCCGGGTTATGAGCCCGGCGCTCTTCCCCTGAGCTAACATGCTCTGATTGATGAGAAATTATACAAATTTTAATATTCAAGCAGTAAACCTAGGTTTCTTCTATATCAGAGAGTGAAACAGGTAGAGCACTGCAGGGTAGGAGGATATATAAGGCCCCTTTAGGTCTATACTTTAGGGCTTAGAGATCCTTCACTATTTAGTAAAAATAGAATATAGGTTATTACTATAGTATAAAAAGATTAAGAATAGGTAAATCCCATTCTACCACAGAGTGTCATGTCTCGATATTTTGTTAAGTCGTGACATAGAATGATTACTGATCGATCTAGACTGCCAAGCCCTCGGTCGATTTTAAGGGCGAACGTTTCAACCCAAGCGCGTCAATCGACCATGAACCAACCAACCAGAATCGTTAATTACGGACAGACAGAAGCTTCCAAGGGACTATCAGCAGCAATGTCCACCGCCGATGGAGAGTCATTGAGAAATAGAGGCCGGCCTCGTCAAGTGCCGACCGCGGCGCCGGACACGGTGAGCGGTATTAGTTCTCGCTTCTTAGCCCCTTTCTCATAGTGGCGTAGGTACGACGGACGCAGCTTCGAGAAGCCCAACGGGCCTATCGGTCCCGACAACAGTCGCTACTTGCCTCGTTAAAGTCTCGGGTTGCTAGACTAGAAGATGCATTCGGACAACTTAATCAGATCATGGACTCTTTCGACGCACAAGTTATCAAGCCAGGTGCTCAAATGTCCCATGCTCAGCTGTTCCAAGCTGTGAAGCTTTTCCAAAATGAGATTTGCTTCCAATTAGAAAGGGTCGACTCTCATGCGTCGCCCAAAGAAGGCAAAGAGCACAGTTCAACTACTACCCAAAGTCAGAAACCCCAACAAAGATCCAGCGACAGACAGTCGTCCTCGGGCCCTTGCCAGGTCAATATAGAAACTCCTAGTGTCCCAACATGGACGAGAGAAAAG